CGGGGGGCAGGGTGCTGGTAGGTGCTGAGGAAAGGGACGGGGGGCTGGGGTAGGGAACAGAGTGCTGGGGCAGGGGACAGGGTGCCGGGACAGGGTGCCAATGGGTGCCGGGGTAGGGGACAGGGTGCTGGTAGGTGCTGGGACAGGGAACAGGGTACTTGTGGGGGTCGGGGTCGGGGGTCGGAGACAAGGACCAGTACCTGGGGTCCCTGCAGCTACACGCCAAGGCCCAGGAAGTGCACGAGCTGCTCTCCCGTCCCCCAAACAGCCATCTCGGTACCTGAAATGCAAGAGACTTTCTTTCCCTGCTGCCTTCCTGAACAGGGGGAGTTGAAGTCCCAGACCGCACCAGCTCCAACTGCTTGGGCAGCGCATGCCTTGCTCCTTGGCTCCCCACAGCAGCGTGCACTGCCTGAGCAGTTGGAGCTGGCACAGTCTCTGCCTCCCACTCCCGCCCCCTCCTCCCTCTCCTGTGCACAGGAAGGCAGCAGGGGAAGAAAATCCCCAGCACCATGGACTGGCATTTTAGGTACTGCACTGGCTGTTGGGACGGGGGGGGGCGGGGAGCAACCCATGCACTTCCAGCACCTGGCGTGCAGCTGCAGAAACCCCCCTCTCCCCACCCACACACACCGGTAGAGTCAGCACAGGGTTCTTCTTGGGGGTGGCAGGTAGTGAGGGGGGGCCCTGAAAGCCTCGCAATCAATGGGTTGGTGACCATGGCACTAAAGCATTAGGAATGAATGTCAATGCAAGTGTCCATACTTATAAAATCTGATTCAGGACTGATGCCGAACATTTTTACCACTATAGTACCAATATTTTTCTGAAGAGCAGTGATCTACATTTGTATGTCTTCTCTATTTGCCGTTTGTATTTTTGTTATTTCAATAAAAATAGTATTTTAAAATAAAAGGCATTGACATTTAGCATTACTATGTTTATTCTGCATCTCTTCACTTTTGAAGAAGGGTTATCATCATCACTGATAACGCTATTTGTTTGACAAAACTGATAAAGCTATTTGTTTAGCGCTAGATAATATAATTTTGGTTCCCAATAAGTTTTGGAGAAGGAAAGCAGATAATAAACAACACCATTCATTAATGGCACTTTACCTTCTATTTTTAAGTGGTTATAACATTGAAAATTCTGAACATGGATTAATTTGTCAGGAGTTATCGTTATAAATACTTTCAACACTATGGCTGCAACTTACTTTTAAATTAATTATTCCTGCATCAGTAAGCTGAATTATTTTTGCTTCAATTAGTATAATACATTTTGAACCCCTGAAAGTGCTAGAGACTCTGACAAAAATTTCAGCTTTCTGTTTAATTCAAAAGCTTCAGAGGGGTAGCTGACTTAGTCTGTAAACTGGAAAAACTTAAAAAACAAAGAACAGTCTAGCAGCATCTTAAAGGCTAACAAAACATGTAGATGGGCTTTCGTGGGCAAAACACACATGTTCAGGTGACTGGAGTATTAGAAGTTCAGATCCAAGAATAAATTGGGGGGACAGAGGAGAAGCAGAAGGGAAAAAAGGAGAAAGACGACAGTGAGTAGATTGTTCAAGTTACAAGAGGCTAAGAACACGTAGTACTAATTAGTCTTTAAGGTGCTATTAGAATATTCTTTTTTAAAAGTTTTTTTGTTTAATTCAATTCAGTCACAATATCAGCTGAAGGAAAACTTAGATTCTAAATCTTTTTTATATGTTAAATTGATCTGGAAGAGTCACTAATTCAATCACTTTACAGGTAAAAGACATAATTGATATATTATAATCCTTGATACTTATCTAATTATTTATATTCTTAAACAAATGGTATCAGGTAAGATTAATTTTATCTATAAGAAGTGGTTGTGTCATGAAGGTATTTTCATTAGCCTTTAGCTGAACTCAGTAAGACTTTACGTTGTGGTCTATGCAAATTTAAGGATAGGCCTCTGTGAATAAAAGATTATAGGAGATCCCCGCTTTATGATGGCCTGATTTACGACCTGCCGCACTTATGACCTTTTCCGTAAGTGCGGAAGGAACCAAAATCCCCCAACTTATGTCCTTGGCCCCGCATTTACATGGACGTACGACACCTGTCGTAAATGTGGGCTCAAGTTACGACGCCCCGACTTACGACGCTATCCTCGGAGCCGAACACATCGCAAGTTGGGGGTAGGCTGTACTGCATTAAGCCATAGGGGCATTCAGTCTCCTAGACTGATTTTTATTTTGTACAATCTAATTCAGCTTGTGCTGGTAAATTCCCAATCCAATGCGGAGATGTTTTAAATCAAGACTACTTGTCACTGTTGCTCATTAAAAACAGATTTGTACACTGACAAATATTATAAATGGCAGCTGGGAGTTCTTTACCCTGAAAATTTCTGGATAATCTAGTCTGGATACCAGCACCAGGCTTTTGGGAGCAAATACTTCAGCAGGCTGAATTAAACCAGACTCCTCTTCTTCACCTTCAGTCTCTTTTGTTCCCTTGAAAACAGATACACTTCAGTTAATTATTTTCTAAATAAGGCTAGTCTGCCTTCAAAATAAATACTTTTAAAATGTTTAAGGACCAAGATCGCTTAGAAAGAAAAAAAAATTATGTAGTGTATAGAATCTTTGAAAGAATCACGAATACATATTATTTTTAGTGACCTATAAGAAAATCTCAACAGTTTTATAGAGAACACTATATGCATAGTATCAGAGGGGTAGCTGTGTTAGTTCGAATCTGCAAAAGCAGCGAGGAGTCCTGTGGCACCTTATAGACTAACTGATATGTTGGAGCATAAGCTTTCGTGGACAAAGGCCCACTTCGTCAGATGCATGTAGTGGAAATCTATATGCATAGACACTCTTACTGAAACCCCTTATGTTTCCAAAAGTGTTTTGCTGTCTAATAGTGTAAAAATTAATAACTGTTTTCTGTTTAAAAGAAAAAAGTATGGACCTTAAACTATAAAAGTATACACCTCTGAACATATTACAGAGATCCTCTGAGCCACTTCCAGGAGCAAGGCTTATGTCTATTGAACATGGACAATTAGGATGCCAAACAAACTAACCATACATCCTCTCTTTTAGTCTCTCATAAAAATTTTGCTATAGCACTTTAAAGAGACTTACATAAAGGGTAAATATTTCATTACTATTACAAATATATAGTAGTCTCAGAGGAGTATCTGTGTTAGTCTGTAACTTAAAAAACAACTTTTAAAAACAATGGGCAGTTCTATGGCACCTTGGAGACTAACAAAAATATATGTTTTTTTAAAAATATATTTATTTTTGTTAGTCTCCAAGGTGCCACATGACTACTTCTTGTTTTTAAACATATATAGTAGGTATGTTTCACTCCTTCTAGTCTGTCAGAAGTCTGATGACACTCATCACAAAGTTTTCTTGAATTAACTGAGGATCTTGCAAAAATGGAGGGGATTACGTGTGGTTCAACTAATACCTTTCAGTGAGATTGCAGTTTTTGATAGGTGATTCGTATGTGCTCTGAGAGTCTCTCATACATCTATAAGTGGATGTAGTAACTTTTCATACTTACTTAGCTCAACTGTTCTCTAGAATTTGTACCTTGTTATTGTAAATCGTTTTTATGATGTCTAGTTGAGAGTCCAACAATGCACTCTACATGGCATTACATCTGATGACCATTTGAAGCTACACTTACTGCTGAGCACTGTAAATCAACTACTTAATGAAGCTAGCCAAAGGGAGCTCATTATGTCAGTATCCAAACACTTCACCGGCTCACTACATGCCTGCAGGTGTAATTCAATGTGCTGGTTTTGATTCTGAAAAATGGGCAGCATGCCATTTGGATCTTAGTTACCTGAGAGACCATATCTGCCTCACTTTCCAAAATAACAGAGACAACTTAACAGAGCCTAGATTTAATTATCTGGAGTCACTTCTCCTCCATTGCTAGGGCCATGTTTACACTGGGAAATTATTTCAAAATTACTAAATTTGACTTATGAATTCCTGATTTAACAAATTCAAACTTGCATATCCTCACTACGGGGAAGCATCAAAATTATTTCAAAACAGTTTCACATATAACAGAGCCTGCCTCAGACTCCGGGAGCGCGCCGGGTGGCAGGATACTTCCTGTGACTGCTCGGTCCAGCAAACGGCAATGGTTACTTACGAAGGCTCCTTTCCACACCTGCATCTCACAAAGCACTCCTCCACTCCCTCCCCCCTCGCGGGACAGAAAAGGGATGCAGTGGGCACATACCTTCTCATGCTCTGGTTGCCCACATGGATGCTACAGCACTGCCACCATGGAGCCAGAGCTGCTGCAAAGCAGTGTCATGCTCATGGCTGTTGTGCTGCGCCTCATGATACAGTATGTCAAAAGCACCCATGTTGCTCCAGCAGGATCAGGATGAGGATGAGGCACATGAACCCCAGCATGGTCTGCAGACTCTACTCAGCCCAGTCCTGGTGCTCCTGCTGCTGTGCATACCTCTCAAACCCCTGGTCACAGTGGAATGCCGCTTCTGGCAGAGGGAGACATGCTTGGGCTGGTAGGACTGCATCTTCATGCAGGGATGGGACAATCAGCGGTGGCTGCAGAACTTCCACATGTGCAAGGCCATCTTCCTCAAACTCTGCAAGTGGCTTGCCCCTACCCTCAGGTGACAGGACACCTGACTGAGATATGACATCCTCATGCAGAAGTGTGTGGTCATTGCTCTCTGGAAGCTTGTCATGCCAGAAGCTTGTCAGTTGGAAACCAGTTCAAGGGGGGAGGAAGGGAATCCAGTCAGGGCTGTGCTTGTGCAAGTAGCCTAGCCCTCAGCCACATCCTGCTACAGAGGGTCGTCACTCTGGGCAATGTGGACACCATTGCTGATGGCTTTGCCAATATGGGCTTCCCCAACTGCCCTCAGCCACATCCTGCTACAGAGGGTCGTCACTCTGGGCAATGTGGACACCATTGCTGATGGCTTTGCCAATATGGGCTTCCCCAACTGCGTGAGTGGAGGACGGGGTCATAGAAGACACACACATTCTCATCCTGGTTCCTGACCACCGGGCCTCAGAGTTCATCAATTGCAAAGGATACATCTCCATGGTGCTGCAGGTGCTCATGGATCACAAGGGATGCTTCATCAACAATGTCAGATGGTTGGGAAAGGTGCATGATGCCCTCATCTTTTAGAACTCCTGCCTCTTCCAAAAGATGCAAGTAAGCACTTTTTTCCCCCAGACTGCACAATCAGAGTTGTGGAGGTGGACATGCCCATTGTGATCCTGGGCATTGCAGCCTATCCCTTGTTCCCTTGACTCATGAAGCCCTACATGGGCAGCCTGGACCTCAGCAAGGAGGAGTTCAACACCAGAGTTGGCAGATGCAGAATGGTGGTGGAATGCAAGTTTGGGCATTTAAAGGGGAGGTTCAGGAGTCTAATCACCAGTCTGGAACTCAGCAAGCGCACCATCCCCTTTGTGGTGGCAGCGTGTTATATGCTTCACAACTTGTGTGAAAAGAAGGAGAGTTTTTGGTCAGAGAGGAGGGCTGAGGCAGAACACCTGGCCAGGGAGCAATAGCAACCAGATACCAGTGCAATAAGGAGAGCACAGCAAGGGGCAGTGTTCATCAGAGGGGCAATGAAGCACAGTTTTATGCAAGGCCAGTTCTGAGATTGCCCCTGTGGCTCTTCACCAGGGACCCCTGCATTCCCTGTGTATTCCTTTCATCCCCCACCGTTCCCTACCCTGCCCTCCCCTCCCCTTCCCTGCAGAGTAAATAATAAAGAGATCTGTCAAGGCTGTTCCCCACTCCGGCACGACAAATGCAGTATTTGGGGGCCTGCAAGAGCTCCCCAAAGCCTTGTCTCTACAGGCTTTGGTATAAAAACTTCCCCCCAAAACCCTAATACCTGGACTTTGGGGACTATCCATTGCCACCACACAAGTATTTCAAAGAAACCAGGGAAGAGGTCACTTGGAAAACCTCCTCCCTAAAACCAAAGAGCTTGAAAAAGAAAAGAGAAAACAAGCTGCAGTCTGTGGTAGCTGACTCCTTAATCAGAGAAACAGACAGACCTCCCAGGACACAAAATGAACCAATACCAGTTAATAAGAAAAAGAAAACAAACTTTTATTATCAAAACCAAACTACCATTGCAAGCATAACTGAGGTGGCTAGAAGGTAAGAGCCATCAACTGATATACTCAGAGAAAATTCCCTGAGTTAGAAAGCTTCATTACGAGAGAGAGAGAGAAAGAGAGAAAGAGAAACACTTTTAAGGAAAGAAAAACATTTTTAACAGCACAGACCTCAGTTCCAATTCCAAAACCAGAAAATAATAAAACCTGACGGACTAGCTAAACTTTTTCCTACTTACACCTTGAGTCCGTCCTTGGAGAGAGACAGGCCTCCCATCTCCCTGTTACTTGGAAGAAACTGTTCTCCTCAGACAAAGGAGGGAAAAGTTAAAAATTCCTTTGTCTCAGTTTGAAATCCCTACCTGCATTGTTATTGGCTGACCAGATACCTGGCTAGGGACAGGAGATATAATTAACCCTTTAGTCACTAGGTTGCTGGTCAGCCCTCATGGTTATGACAAGATTGTTCTTGAAAAAACAGTAATCTTTATTCAGGAGACATACAAAAGGGGAGAAGACTGGGAAAAGAATCTGAAATGGGGAAGAGGAGCTCAAGAATGGGACTGGGATCAGCACCTGCCGTCAGGTGGTCTGCGGGCTCCAGTTACCCTTGGGGGCCCCCATGTTGTGGGGCCCCAGAGGCCCCATCAGGTGGGTGGGAAGGTGGCTCGCTCCATGCACGCCACCATGCATTCCTTAACTGAGGTGAGGGTGAGAACATGTCCTCATGCTGGCATGCCAGCTCTTCCTAGGAGGCCTTTCTCTCCTCCCCGTCAGCCTGGTCAGTCCATCACTCCTCTCTTTCAGCAATTTTCTCCTGGTACTTTGCCTTGAGTCCTTGCACAAATGACTTTAGGCAGACCATCTGCTCCCTCATGAGCTTGTCCTGGGTTCTTTTCTGCCTGTGGATCCCACTCAGGTGGGTAGATACAGTGGGAGGTGGGGGATGCATCCAGCTTGCAGCTGTCCCAGCTGTGAAGAAAAGTGACAATGGCAGTCATCCCAGGAGACATTATGCATGAAGCCTAGTCCTAATCTTTGAGCTGACACCGAAGGCCTCAGTTCAGACGATGGTAATGTGTCTTGAGCAAGGCCATATGCTGCCTAGAAAGCAAGCATTTTCCAGTAGATGCACAGACATCCCAGGAGAGCATCGCTACACCCATAGCCCAGACACAAGTAAATATGGGAAGACGCAGGCCAGGCCAGGAGACTGTGGGTGAGAAGGGGGCATGGAATGGCTTAGCTTCCTACTGTGTACCACACACACCAGGTCCGGTACTTGCGGCATCCTGCAGGGAGAGAACTTCTATTCCTGCCTGCTTGAGGAGTAGGAGTGGGGAGTTGGGAGAGGT